GGAATACACAGTATGAACAGTGTGGAGCTGTTGGACCTGTGTGTGTGGTGAGGAGCCTTGCTGATGGCTGACAGGGCAGAGAATGGGGATTTCCACGCTCTGTGGGCATGTGACACCATGGCACCAGAATCTCAGGAGCCTCCCTCTTGGCTGGAGCACGAAAGAGAGAGAGGAGGCGGACTGCTCTCATGTGCCCACATCTTGCGTGTCGATCTGCTTTCATTCACTGTTTACTTTCCCTGACGTCCGGTGACGTTCAGTGTTTGGACAGAGACAAGGCAGTGAAGGCGGGGTTTCGTAGACTGTCTTACTTGTGCAGGAGGAATCAAACTGCTGACAGTGCAAACCTGACTGCAAGTGGAAGGTGTGTGATTTGCACACCTGAAGGGCAATGTTTGTTGGGCACTTGCTTGCAGTTTTACTTCTTATATTTTCTTTGGAAGTGGCATGGGTGTGTGGAGGTTACGGCCGCTGCCTTTCAGATCTTGGGTTCGGGGTTTGATTCCAGGCTGGGGTGCCTTCTGTGTTCAGTATGCATTTTCCTTCCATGTTCACACGTTTTCTCTGGGTGCTCAGGTTTCCTCCTGCTGTCCACAGACAGCCTGCCTGTGTTAATTTCATCTCTGAGCTGTCTGAGTGCGTGAGAAAGTGCCTTGTGCTTCTGGGATTGACTCTAATTTGCCACGGTCCTTCCTAAGAATAAACAACTTTCTGGACTTTTTTCACGCCAGCTGGCTTTGTGATGCTAGTTAGACAGCTGTATCATAACTGCTGGCACTAAAACGGTGTGTCTTGTAACATTTATTTCCTAACAGATTTAAGTTGGAAGCACATGTTAAAACTATGTGGAAGTGCATTTAAAACTGTCAACAGTAGTTGCATCTTTACTCAAAGGTTTGTGGGGGTATGGAACACGTTACTCAGTCATTTTGACGCTGATATACTGTCTCTTTCCAAAAAGAGCTGGATGAGATCCCTGGGTCTGTTAACTACCAGTCAGGCTAATGGGCTGAATGACCTCCTCACATTTGTAACCGTTCTTGTGTAAATGTGGTTCAAAAATTGTCCCCAAACATCATCTGTTTTGAGATAAAAAAAAATTCAACAAATGCAGTTTGTCTTGACGTCTCACATTTTGACAGTAATGGGGTATAACATAAACAAAGTCAAGAAGTCATTTTTAAAACCTGGTCTGGGTCAGCATATTCTTTTCAAATACTTTACATGAAATGCCTTTTGTATCTTTATACTTCTTTTCATATTTAAATGATCGAAATAAAGGGCCCTTGAGAAGTTTTACAAAATTCAACAAGAATTCTAGTTTTGTTTTATACCTTTCGGGCACGAGTCTCCAAGTTCCAGAGATGTGAAGAGATTAGATTTCTTAGTTTTCGTTGGAGGTCTTTGCAGACATTACCCTGGGCCCTCTGAGTGACTACTGCTGCTTTCTGTACTTGTCATTTAACAGGACTAGGATGTGCTGTAAAACTGCTCTTTAGAGGGCAGTACTAGCCATAGAGGGCCAGTATACTGTGTATTAAAGCCACAGATCTGCCTTCTCAAGCACAGGCTCATTCCCCATCCTTTGCTCTCACACAAGCATCTAGAAAGAATCCCCTGAAGGCTGCTTTTGGGAAAGAGCCTGCGTGCTGTACAGAGGAGCCGGAGGCTGG